CTGTACCATTTATTTGTTGTCACACTCCTTGGGCCAGGCTATTTTTCAGGTTCAATAAGGACAAGTGCAGGGTCCTGCACCTGGGGAGGACTAACCCCAGGCACCAGTACAGATAGGAGTGACCTGCTGGAAACCAGCTCCACAGAGAGCGACCTGGGCGTCCTGGTTGACACCAAGTTAACCATGAGGCAGCAGTGCCCTCATGGCCAAGAAGGCCAATGGGATCCTGGCTGCATCAGGAGGATGTTGCCAGCAGATCAAGGGAGGGGATCCTGCCCCTCTGCTCAGCTCTGGTGAGGCCAAACCTGGAGCACTGGGGGCAGTTCTGGGCTCCCCAGGACAAGAGGGACGTGGAGCTGTTAGAGAGGGTCCAGCACAGGGCAACAAAGATGATTAAGGGATGGGAGTAACTATTTTATGAGGAAAGACTGAGCGAGCTGGGCCTGTTTGCCCTGGAGAAGAGAAGGTGCGAGGAGATATGATCAACATGTCTAAGTACCTGAGAGGAGAATGTAGGGAGGAAGGGGCCAAACTCTTCTTGGTGGTGGCCAGTGATAGGTAATGGGTACAAGTTGAAGCACAGCCAGTTCCATCTCCATGTGAGGAAGAACTTCTTCACTGTGAGGGTGACACAGCTCTGGAACAGGCTGCCCAGGGAGGTTGTGGAGTGTCCTTCTGTGGAGATCTTCCAAACCCAACTGGATGCCGCCCTGTGCCCTGTGCTCTGGGTGTCCCTGCTGGAGCAGGGAGTTGGACTGGATGATCTCTAGAGGTCCCTTCCAACCTCAACCATTCTGTGGTTCTGTGATTCAGTGATTTTCCAAATCCCTGCCTGGAACAGCTCAAGGAGTATCACAGACCAAGGACCAATCCAGAAAAACACCAAATACCCCCATGTCACATAACCTTTATTTTAGACTCTGAAAGCAGTTCTCTCATGGACTGCAGCACATGTGTTACTTTAGACACTTTGTAATCTAAAACCAAACCAAAACACTAAAAAACAAACACATACAAAATAAAGTCTAAGACTGAATGCCACATGTGCATCACTGCAAGCCCAGAGGAGACCCAGGGTGAAGTGGCTGCAGTGACTCTCTGCTGAGTTTGGGGACGAGAATGGTGTTTTTTGCCTCACTTAACTCACCTTTGTAGATGTAACCAAAGTGTCTCACATTGAGCCTGGATACTGCCAAAGGTGTCATATCTGAAGCTCTCCTCTATTCAACTTCCAGCTGTTCTGGTTTCCATATTTAGGAAAGAGAGTTAAAAATCTGAATCACGGGTTAGCTGAGAAATTAAATGGGACTTGAGATGCTGAGACAAGGAGCTGAGACTCGTCTGCGCCAGCTCCGAGTGCGGATCCCCCCATGTGTGGGAAGAGAACTAGAGCTCCTGGCTAATTAACCAAGCCTTGCAACACCCAAGGAAAACAGGGGAATGGACTCCAAGGCACAGCGAGGGAGGCCAAGGTCTTGACACGGGGATAAGATACAGCAGGGAACTTAAAGAAACGAAAGAAAAACATGCACAGTAGCTGCACTGAGTCAAATCCAAGAAGCACGTAAGAACTGACTATTCCTTTAAGGACACACACAGTGAGAAGTGAATGGAAAAGCCTCTCAAGTTGTGGATTCTCCTCCTTAGGGCTCTTCCCGCGCTGCAACGGGGGACAGCAGCGGCCCCCACGTCACCGATGACACGTCACGTCACCCCACGGGGCAGCGGGCGCTTCTTGGAAAGGGACTGACTGACACCACGGGGAAATGTAAACACGGTCACTCCCAGGCAAAGCGCAGCTTGTGGGGTGCGGCTGCTGGTGGGGCTCCCGCCTGCTTCTAAATAAGAAGTTTTTCACTTTGCCACGAAGTGACAGGCCCCCTTTATCGCTGCCGGCCAGCTGTTTCTTCAGCACTCAGCTGTTCCTGCTGCACGTCCGCAGAAATGGGAAAAAAAAGGCTATTTAGGGAGGCAAATCCGCCAAGCCTTTGGGCATATGTGTATCTTCAGTTCTCAAAGTCTGATCTTCTTTCACATCCCCTTTACACCTGTGCATCCACACTGACCTCACTGAAGCTAGTCCCAGTTCTTAATTGTATATATGTGTATATATGTATGTTTATATGAGATTATATATAAAAAAAAAATAGAAAAGACCCAAATGAATTTACAGATTTTAGAAGGTTTTATGGTGCCTCTTGAAGAAGACTCAGCTTCATTCTTTCTAGGGGAAATAATCTTAGTAGAAAAGAAGTTCTCTAGTACTATACAGAACAGCTCCTTTGGAGCAAATGTTACAGGTAAAAGTTTGTCAGCGTTTGTTCAGTATGAAGCAAAGTGTCCCTCCTAAAGTCCTATGGATAAAACATTCTAGATGTCATCAGGAGGGTGTGCGCGTGTGTGCGTGCACGCATGTGTGTGTCTGTGGTGATGCACATGCTCCTTGTTTAAACAAATACGCCTCACGCTGAGAGGGAGAGCCACGACAGGCAGCAATCAGCTGGTTTTGCAAGAGCACCAGGCCAGCGAGCTGCTGCGTAACACGTCCTCACACACGTAGCCCTGCTGGCTGCAGCGGCCCGTCCCTTCCCAGCGCTGCCCGTCTGCATGGGAAGGGTGTGTTTGCTGCACGGGGCCCCGGAGACTGCAGGCGCTGCCGCGAAACTGCCTCATCATCCCAAAACAGCCCTCTGCAAATGAAATACTGCAGTCCACGGAGGAGAGGAGGAAGCGGAACCACGTGGAGTCTGATGGTTTTACCCCAGGAAAGGTTAAACGGGCTGGAGTTGGGTGCAGGGAGAGCCGCGGCGTACACAGCGTGGAGCGGAGCCAGCCCTGGCAACCCTGTCCCATTCATTTTGCTTCCTGACACAGCATGTGTGCAGCTCAGCTTGAGGATACACGTGGACTCACAGAGACACGATAAACGCTCTCAAAACGTGAAACGGTGCTAGATCACTGTGGCTGTGGTTGAGCACGGGTTTTGCCCTAGCTGTAGGGCTGCGTTTTCTTTACTATGTTTTATGCATGTCAAAGGGAGGCAAAGGGAACTTTCTTGTGTGGCCAACACAGAATCACAGAATGGTTCAGGTTGGAAGGGACCTCTAGAGATCATCCAGTCCAACTCCCTGCTCCAACAGGGACACCCAGAGCACAGGGCACAGGGTGGAATCCAGGCGGGTTGGGAAGATCTCCACAGAAGGAGAGACTCCACAGCCTCCCTGGGCAGCCTGTTAGAGGGCTCTGTCACCCTCACAGGAGAGTTGTTCCTCCTGCCATGGAGATGGACGTGGAGATGGAACCAGACCTACACACATGATTTCATCCCGTAGCAGTTAATGCCAAACAGCGTCTCCTTCTACTTCCAGTTAAAGTTGATGGAAAAGCTCCCCCAAATTCCAATGGAAAGGGCTGCGCTTACAGTGCACCGTTACTATCTCATCCTAATGCAGCTGAATTCGAACAGCAGGTGAAAAATCAGAGAATGATTTTTTAAATTATCATTATTATTGCAACCTAAACACATTCTCTCCTTGGTAATTCATGGGATCACTTCATCTTGTTCCAGGTGGATAAAAATGTCTCTTACATGTCAACCGCAACGCTGCTTTCTTGACAGCCTTGTGTGTTGTCTCATCGCCGATCCCTGGGCCAAACGGCCTTAAAACGCAGTCTCTTCTGCAGCTGCATTACACTGACACACCTGAGGCAGCGAGATAGAGGCTAATAAAACACGGGTGCAATGTGTATGCGTTTTTAACGGGATAATGTAAGAAAAAGGCGAAGTGCGGCCCTTCTTTCAAGCTGGAGGGTTGCTCTCTGCTTAAAGCGACGCTGCTGCCTCTCTGTATTGAACTCGTAGGAGGCGGCGCCAAGGCTCCTACGAGTTCAACACAGAGGCAGCAGCGTCGCTTTCACAGGATCGCGGACAATACTCTGCAATCCGGGCCGCGCTGCGCGAGGAGCGGCCGCTGCTGGGGGCGCTCTTCCGCCCGCCCGCGCGACCCGTGTCCGTTACGGGCCCGCCCGCGCGCGCCGCACGGGGCAGTTTCGGGGCGCGGGCGCCGACTGCACATGCGCGTTCCCGCAGACAGGCGGCGGCGCCCGCGCCGCTCCGTCACGTGACGCGCCGCGCTCCCGCAGGGCGCTGACGTGCGCGCCGCGGCTTCCCCGCCGCCAGCGCGCATGCGCGGCCGCGGCGGCGCAAGGGAGCGTCTGCCAAGTGCGGCACCGCGTGGCGGCAGCGCCGGGGGGCGTCCCCGGGAGGCGGAGGCGGCGCCGGGCGGGCCGCCCACCCGAGCCTTTTTGTTCCACTTGCGCACGGGACCGCCCGGATATTTGCGCTTAGCGGGCGTTTTTTTTAACTGCCATTGACGGAAAGCGCCGAGCAGGCCCGAGGGGAAGGGCCCGCGCGGCGGCTGCTGCTCGAGGCCGCGCACTTCGCGACGGCCCCTGGGCGAGCTGCCCCCCGGCCCGACCGCTCTTCCTCGCGGCACCCCCGCTGCGCGGCACGCCCCTGCCGCCCCATTGGCCGGCGGCGTGCGCTCATTTGCATGGTGCCCCTTACACCAATCAGAGGCCGCCGCCTACTTAACATGCAAAGAGCCGGCCAATCAGCTCGCGCGTGGGCTGGGCCACCACGTGCTGTTGCTAAGCTTCGGCTTCTAAATTGTTACTATAGTGGCCAGCCAATCGGAGCGCGGATCGGGATCTGTCAACATGCGCTGCGCCAGCCAGAGGAAAAGGGCGGGCCCGGGGGGGAGCGACTCGCTCCGCATTGGTCGCGCCGCCGCTCTCTGCCCCGCCCCGGCGCCGAATATCCGGCGCCTATTGGCCGCCCGGGCTGCCCGTCCGCGGTGTGTCAAATGTAGGTTGAGAGAGGTGCCTTATAACCGGGGACTTGGAAGTCCCCCGCGCGTGAGCTCGGCGCGGTGCGGGGCGCGGAGCGGCGAGCGGCCGGGGAGGGCGACGAGACGCGGCGGGGCGAGGCGCACGCAGCCATGGAGCTCAACTCCCTCCTCATCCTCCTGGAGGCGGCCGAGTACCTGGAGAGACGGGACCGAGGTACCGGGAGCGCCGCGAGCCGCCCGCTGCCTTTGTTGTGCGGCGCCCGCGGGGGCGGCGCGGCCCCCGCCGGGCCCCGGGCCTCACCTGCGGAGCCCGGGCCGCGCGCGGGGCGCGGGGCGCGAACAAAGCCGGCCCTGCCCCGCGCTCCGGCGCCGCCGCGCGCCCTCCTCGCGCTTGTTTTGTTGTTATTTTTGCCGTCCGCCCCCTTTATTTTTTTCCCCCTTTTTTTGGCAAGTGCTGGATGGGGATTGCGGCTCCCTGTGCCCCCCCACCGCTGCCCTCCCTGTTGCAGCCCTTGTTGTATTGCAGTTTTGCCCCCTCCCCCCCTTAGTGCAGTGTTGTGAGATTTATTTTTTTATTTTTTTTTCCTTCTGCATGATCGGCCTGTTTTTTAATATGCACTCAATAATCCTCCTAATTTGGGCACTTTAATATTATTACTGAGTTGTTACATTATCTTTTGGTCTCTTTTCTTTCTTTTTTTTTAAGATGCCAGAATAAAAACCAAGCAAATCAACCAAAAAAAAAATTCTGTTCTTTACCCTAGCGTTCCTGCAAAGGAGGAAAAAAATGCATGGAAAAAATATATTGCCACTAATGCTGACTTTGTCCCTAGAAGCAGAACATGGCTATGCATCAGTGTTACCCTTCGATAGTGACTATTCCAGAAAGAAAACAAAGGCAGGCACCATGGCCAGAAAATCCCAGAATAACAGGTAATAGACGCACCTCTCTTCCAGAACGAACCGGCGGCTTTTCCGACGTGTCGAGCTTATGTGCAGCACATACGTTTATGAAAAATAATAACTAATCCGGTGTCTTAGTTTCCCCCATCCCGGTAGTCGCCATTTTTTTCCCTGGATGGGCTTGGCTCTGTTTTGATCTCTCATATAAACACTGCCACGCGTACACCATCTCCTCAGCGCTCCCTGCGCTCCTCGGCCGTCCGCCCTCCGCGGCTCCCGGTGCTCCCCGCTCGCCAGCAGCCGCTCTCCACGCCGGAATTGCCACCCGGGCATCTCTTTGCATGGCACTAATTTCCCCCCCTCTGCTTTCCCCCCCCCTCCTTGCAGCGTTTATTTATAAACGGCAGCCCGGCCGCCTTCCCCGTCGCGGCGGAGCAGATGCAGCCTCCGGTTGCGGCGCTGGAGGGGAGCACTGGGGAGTCTCCGGCCGTGGGCAGCTCTCCCGCAGGGATGCGGGCGCCCAGCTGGCCCCCGTGGGCCTGCCCGTCGCGTGCGGCTCCGTCACGACGTGCCTGGCGCCGTGGGCGCTGGTTCCCCCCGCGCTACCTGCGGCGGAGCGCGGCTGCGCGTCGCAGCTTTGTTTGCCGCCCCGGCCAGCGCTGCCTGTGTACGTGCGGGAGGCTGTCGCGCGGGGACGGCGCCGGCCCCCGCCTCCGAGCTGCTCCGGCGCCGCTCCGGGCGCAGCGGGGAGCCCTGGGCCCTGCACGGCCCCGGCGCAGGCTCCGTGCACGGCAGTTCCTGTGGAATAGCCTAAAACGAACTCGCCTCGCACGTGACTTGTTTTCCAAATTGGAAGGAAGTCTCAGTGGGCCTGCTCCGCTCTCCCTGCCTCCGGCCGGGATCCTCCGTGGCGCTGGGGCAGGGAGCTGGTGCCGGAGAGGTGCAGGGCAGCTGCCCAGCTGCTGCTTGTGGGGTGCTGAGGACGCAAACCGAAATGAAAAGCTGCCTCACTCCTTCCTAGAGAAAAACACGGGCTCGTGAGCGTCGTGGCAGGGCGGTGTGGCTTGAGCATAAGTGAGGAAACAGGGAATGAAATTGTTCTCCTTCCCCCCTGCTATAAACCAGGCGGGCGCTTCTAGTCGTGTTAAGTGGGGTTGTCCCGGAGTGTTGTCCTGAGCTGAGCGCCTTGTCTCGTCTTGGAGCACAGAGAAGACGTCAGCTCAATTGAAAAAGAAAGTCAACAGGAATGGGAGGTGCCTTGTTTTCTGAGATGCCTCACTCCTGAGAATTTTTAATTATTATATAGTGTACCTGCTGCCTTAAAAAGCTCACAGCTCATCTGAGCAGATCTCCTAAAATTTCCAGCTGTTAAGGGACCATAGAAATGGACGGTTTTTTTCTGTTTCTCGTATTCAAGAAATCTTTGTTACTTACGGAACTATCATTCCATCATTTCCTTTCTTTGGTCCCTTGTCATCCACATCATATAGTTATTCGTTCAATTTTTAAGCTGCTTTGGGGAGTTTTTAGGAGAGGATTTGTAATCTATCAAATACAGCAGAATTAAAAGATTACTGCTAACAGTTTTTCTAGCATTACTAAAGCTGAGCTGTGCGTGTCTGCTTGCAGTTACCATCCTGCAGTTTCCCGAGTACAGGTTTACATATACACCTGTTCAGACTTTTTTTTTCCTGATTCTTGTTATATAACAGTGCTAGCCTTCATTGCAGTGGACACGCTTGCTTACACTTTCCTTTCCCGTAGCTGCAGCGAGCTGTTTGTCCTGTGGGATGGGATAATACTGCTGGAGAACTGGCTGCAAACGCAGGCGCCGGCGCGGATGCGGTTCGTCTGGTTCGGCGTGGACACAGGCGCCCTGTGCAGCAGGGATGCATTGCTTCCATGCAGCACCTGCCCTTGGAAGGGCTGAGGGGCAACAGCAGAGCCGTGTGGGCACCTCTGCGTTGTGCTCATCCGCTTGGTGCCCGCTCCTAACGATTGCTGCTCGGGTTTTCCTGTGAGCTGGAATTAGAGGGGGAGGAATTATTCTTACATTTAAACATACAACCTGAAAGCAGTGAAGCAGAGCAGCGTTGCTGCTTGTTACCACTTCGGGATTAGAGGAGGCTGCGTCTGACCCTCAGACTCGAATTTGGATCTTTGACAATACAGTTAAATCTTCCCAAGCAACTCAAAGATTAACAGAGGCTGCCGACTGGCCAAAGGTCGGGGATGTGGAGTGGTGGTTGGTAACGTGAACCACTGGGCACAGCGCTCGCCCATTGCTTTGCTTTCCCTGCTTCCTGGGAGCACTGAGGTTGCAGCTTCAGATGCGTGGAGGCATCACTGCTTATGTGTATGCTCCTTATTGCGGTTTTATTCTCTTTGTGTGTGTATAAAAATATATGCTTACTGATGGAGGAGCAGGAACGGAGCAGATAACTGCACGCTCCTGAGCTGCAGGGGCTTTGTTGTTGTTTTCATTATCTATTTTTATATCCTGCAGCATCCTCAGCTCCTGGTGTTTGCACCATACAATCACTTAAAGTGCACTCTCTATATTATATATATTTATATATATAATATATGTATTTCAAAGTGAGGGAAGTATCTTCCTCCACATTTTGGAAAGCGAAAAGGGGCCACGGGGGAGCCCTGCGTGTGTCTCCTGTGCCAGTTGTGCCCCTTGCTGCTTGTCCGTGTCGCCGCGAGCAGCGCAGCCACCTCGTACAGGTGTCTTCGAGGGCCTGGGAGAGGGACAGCCACCCAACCATTGAGCCAGGGCCCTGATGGGCACCTCCTTCCAATGCAGAGGTGGCAGCGATGTCCCTGGGACACAGGTGCGGCCCGCTCCTGGCTCCACTATCCTGTCACCCGTGCTCGGCCTTGCTGGCACCCCAGAGACCGGGTGAAGGAGCGGGGCTGGCAGCGCTGCGGGCAGGACGGCGGCACCCGCGCCGGGAGATCGCGACACAAGGAAAAAGCCGTTCCGACAGGGTTGGGATCGGAGCGGGGAAAACACCAGTGTAATGGTGTTTAATTATCTGAGTTCTGTAAGCCTCCTGCCCACCACAGGAATTTAACGTTTTTTGCTTTGTCTGCTCATAGTTTTTAATTAAAATTTGAAGTGGTCATTAATAGTTCGCTGTTGAACAGACTATTCTCAGGGCAGTTGTTGGCAATCAGACCTAATTTGCAGCCGTTTCTTTTCTCGCTTCTGCATCGCACAGAAAACACACTTGATTGGTGTGTTTTCCTGCTGAATTCCCTACGATGCTCCCTTTCCCACATGGCACAAGCCAGACCCTGTAACATGCTTTTGGGTTTTGTGTCTTTCTGCTTTGTTTAGGCAGTGTCCTCTGCTGAGATTCAGGCTTGTTCTCCTGCAGGAGCTTTGACCAAAATCCTGTGACAAATGAAATTGGATTCTTGTTTTGCAAGGAGAACAGGAGATTTGAGAAAAGCACAAGCCTGTAATTGACTTTTGAGGGCAGGGGAGGTAAGGCCAGGTCGCATCTTCTTGTTGCACCCATACCTATCATGTACTTGGCTGTAGAGTGATAAATGTCTCCAATAGCTGTAGTTCCTAAAGCTATGCAGTGCCATGTAATAAGATTTGCTAATGTGTAGCTGGAATTAAAGAAGGAGCTGGATTTTGTGGAGTTGTGCCTTGGAAATTTTAATAGCAAGTGTTCGAATGTCTCCCCGAGATTGTGGCTTGATCCAGTGAAATGGATAGATAACAGATGTACTCAGGAGGAATATTACACAAAAATGAAACTTGGTGACGTTTGCTCATAAGGAAAGGAGCTTTGTTAGGAAACCACGTTAGCCTGCAGATAACAGGGCTTTCTTGTCTCCTACCTTTAAGTGACAACTTCAAATCTATAGGTTTCTGTGCTTACATAAAAATAAGGGGGGAGGAGAGGCCTTTCCAACTGAGCCCCCTGTGGACGATACCCTGCATGACACTGCCACAACATAAAATAATTAGATTTGGTGGGTTTGGGTTCTCCCGCTTGTGTGTTGTGTTCTTACCCCAGGAAAGGTGGATTTAAAACCCCGAGTGTCTGATGCCCTGCACTGTGTATGACTGTAAGGGACAGTGTCAGCCCATGAGTAGTGAAGCTGAGGCTGCATCTTTGCTGGGAAAGAATCGGGAATAAGGTAAAATGAAAGCTAAAATCCTAGTGGTAGCTGCCAGGCTACTGAGGTCACGGTTAAATTTACTTGCAGAGAAAGGAATTGGAAGTCGGTGATGCCGTGTACTTGGCCTGTAAGTTTAGGAACCGATTTATTTGGAAGTGCGGAGAAATGAAAGCAAAATAAATGCAGGTTTATGAAATATCTTTTGCATCTGTTAAAATTGATATTTGTGTTTGTGCATTATATAAATAGGCTCGTGCTTTGTGTGGCGCCCTGGTGAAGGGTTTGTGCAGAAGGGACTGAAAGCTGCGCTCGGCGTTTCAAATAGAAACAGAGCCGAGCGTCCGAATTCCTTTGTTGCTGTTGGCTCGCGGCGCCAGCAGCCCGTGGCCACGGGGCAAGGCGCTCCTCACACATGTTAGTCCGTGCCCACACAGAGCCACATAAGGGTCACAGCCTGACTCTGGCTTTATTATTATTCTTTTTTTTTTTTTTTTCCTTTTTTTGTGTAAGGCTGACCATGCAGACGTGACTTCTCTCCTTTGCACGGCTTTCCAAATCTGATGGATCCCTGCGGGTTTGCTTTCCTGCAGCCGAAGCCAGAGGGACAGCAGTTGATATTGCTGAGCTCGCCTTCCCAACTGATAAGGACCAAACTGGTCCTCACATACTAAATCTGAGCAGGTCGTGCTGTGGCCACCCAGGTGTTGCAGGCAGCTGTAAGGCCCAGCAGTGGCAGCGAGGGCAGGGGAATGGCCAGGGCATTAAACATGTGTTTGGAGCTCCCTGCTGCAAACACGAGGCAGACGGGCCGGAGTCGGCGCTGGAGCTGGCGCTTGGTGCAAGAGAGCACCCTCTGCCCGTCTCCTGTGTGGGTGCAGCTGGACCCTGCTGTGTTTGGCCATGAGGACCATGTCCACCATGATCCCAGGGGATTCATTCTGTACAGACGCGTGGTATCTTAGATCGTCCTTGAGACTCCAGCGAGAAGGATCTGTGAGCCCCGTCTGTGCTGGATGGCCCTGGCTTAGCGAGGTGTTGGCGCCAGTTCTAAGCTCATGATCAACTGGGCTACTTCACTTGCTGTGGTGGTTGCAAGCAGGGTGGCAGCCGGGAGCTTATCGGTGACTTATAGCTGGGACTGTGACTCTCACTAGTGTTGGTGAAAGGAATTCAAGCAGTGTTTAAATTCCTGCACTTTGGCAGGAGACACAATGTGTGAGATAAATGGGTGGAAGAGGCGGAAGAAGGAGTTCTAGTGGCTGTGGAAGAAGGAGTTTTACTGTGGCCTGGTGGTGAGAGCTCGTCACCTTCGGCCTTGCTGTGACCACGCAGGGAGCTTGTTGGCTCTGTAAACTGGTAGAAAGCTGCTGTTGGCTCTGATTTGGTCTTTCTGTGGATTGGCCTTGGATAATGCCCACATAAAGAGCTGGGTTGTGTGTTCTGGCTGCTGCATTAACAGGGTAACTCAAATGAGGTTACCTCGAGGTCTCGTTTGGGTAGGAGGGGTGGCAACCAGGAGAGCTCTGAGGAGGTGCTGCTGGCCTGAAGGCACTGCAGGCTCCCAAACCTGCCTCCACATGCTCCTCTTCTATCAAGTCTTCATTTGACAGTTTATCCACTACGAAGATACAGCTGTCACTTAACTGGTTAACTGCTTGGCATTTGCTAAATGAGCATTAGTGCTGTCTCAAGTAAACAGTACAGCCACTGCAAACGAATAGCACTAGGCAGCAGCATTCCTAGTCTCCCTTTTCTGATTTTTTTTCCCCTTTTATATAAAAGCCTCTTTATTGACACCTTTCCATCATCAGCTCTGGTTCCAGCTCCCCAAAGCTTGGGGTGGAGCTGCAGAAGTTGGGATAGGGGACCTAAGCTAAGCCCCAAAAGCTTCCTTTGCTTGTGGCCATGTTTGAAGGGCTCCACAGACCATTTGGCTGCAAACTGCAGCTGTAAATCTGCTTCTGCTATAAATACATATAAATATACATATGTATTCTAAATAGCAGGTTGTTCTCTTGTCCAGTGACTTCCTGACGTTTTTTGCTATGGGGATAACTGTGGACTGGCTGGTATTTTTTTGCTGAGAGAGTCCCCATTGAATATGGGCTCTGTGACTTTGAAGACTTTGTTGGGAGAATGGCTCCCTCCTGGCCCTTTATTTTCTGTGCGTTGGTGTAAATACTCCCTCTTCTGGCACAGTGTCTTTACCTTTCCCGAAGGGGGGAAAAAAAAAATTCCATGCTTGTAAGAGTAGGGAATAAAAACAATATCCACTGATTGTGATCAGGCAGGGAAGAGAGTAAATCACAGTAAACCAGTCCAGTTTGGTCAATTAATGTAGCACAGACTGTTTGAAACACTTCCAGTGTCACTGGGCAGGAGCACGGATGCGGCTCTAGGAATAGCCGCCTTACCTGGTCATGGTTCACTCGTGCAGCTGCCTTGCAAATAGAAATCTGGTAGGTTCCTCAGGAGGAGATGCCGGGTTCAAGATAGCCGATACAGGTCATGTCTTAGTAATGCTGGTGGGATCCTTTCCAGTGAATTAGCATCAGCGGGAGCCTTTGGGTGCTGGAGCTTCCCTCCTCGCCTGGCTCCCGAGGAGCGGCGCTGGCTCCAGCTCAGGGTGTCTGCTCAGCAGGGATTTCTTTGTGTGCTCTTTGCTTGGCCGCTTCCCCCTGCAGCGTTGGCAGAGCCGCCCTCCCTGCTCCGCTCGGCCGCAGCAGCCGTACGTGCAGCTCGTCCCGAGCATCCTGCATCCGAGCGGGAAGGGTTTTAACATCTCTGCCCACCCTGCGGGTGGGAAGGGGCTGTGCACTTGCACCTCAGGCCTCCACAGAGCAGCCTGGATCAGCGCACACTGCCCAGCTGCAGGAAGGGGCTGTAGCCTCATGTAAGGGGGCGAGGGGGGCTGCTTTGGTGCAGTCTGCCAGCCCCGAAAGCTGCCACTGCTTCTGCCTCTTTTGATCCTTGTGTACTAGAAATGTTTTGAGTCGGGCAGAGCTAATGGTGCAGGAAGTTGCTGCTTTTGAAGTGGTGGCCGTCACTTCATTTCAGGAATGTTTTTAATCTGAGCCGTGTAAATAAATAGAATTGATATTTCCAGCTGAATCAAGTTAAAAAAAAAATCCAACAACCAAAAAACTTCCAAGGAACTAAGCTGAGGCTGCCTTCTAATGACAAAATAAAACTAAAAAAAGAAAGCATGTTAAATACAGGTGGATGGGAAGAGAATGGCGTAGCAATGCGGTCAGTTCAGAGATTGTGATTTTTTTTTTTAAATCTGTTTATAGACTCAGACAAGATGATGCCTCTTTTTCAGCATTAAGATGTTAATAGGAACAGCAGCAGCAACTGCTGATTGTTCTTTCCACTTTTCTTTGGACTTCTTGAACAGTAGGATTTCAGGTGCTTTTTTATTCTTAGTCATTACTGTGTAGATCTTATGACACTTTCTGCCCCCTCATAATCTTTCTTTGCAGATGAAAATCTTGTGGGCTGTTTTTCATACTAACTTGATCGTGGTTTTAATGTCTAATTCTGTCTCTGAATATATTAAAAATTTATATATGCAAATTTATTATAATTCTCCCCCAAACCCACAGTTTACTTATAGAAATTAAGTTGATACCTTGAAGAATTTCAGAGATGCAAAGTGAACCCATTTAACAGATAAGCTGTTTCATAATCCAAATGACAATATGTTTGAGAGCTATTTTACAAGTTATGCAGGTAATGACTTTTAAATATTCTAAATTGTTTTATTCATCCTTTTTGGTAATACTTCTTTTTTTCTTTTTAATAGGTCATCACACAACGAACTAGAAAAACATAGGTAAGTCCTGAAAAAAAACATAAAAGTTGTATAGCTAACATTAGAATTACTATGCTTAAAAATAATGTATTGAGAATTATTGTCTCTGCATTGAATGGTTTATTACACTTTTTAAAACATGGACAAAAAACTAATAGCTGTAATCTTATTTGGGGTTTTCTGTTGTTCGGTATGCTATTTTTGAAACATCCCTGATAATTAGCTTTTGACTGATTAGTGCTGTAACTGGTTAAGTGTTGGTTCACTGTTGCTGATAAAGAATCTGATTCCAGAACCTGTTTGCTAGAGGCATTAAGTGTTGTCAGCACAACCAAAAGATGCTGGAATTAAGGTAGATGGTCTCTGGGAACAATATATTATATAGATTTTTAATTTTTTTAAGCACATGTACTTTAAGCACATGTGGGCTGGAAAACAGTAGTTCCCGAGTTGCAGCCTGGGTTCTGTGTGTTCAGTGCTGTGAAAAGCTGTGCTTATTTATTAGGGACGCTCATTAGACCCCCAAGGCCTGGTTTAAGGAACTCGTATTTGCTGGGTTTTGGAAACAATGTTTACCCTCGATATTATCTTGTCAGTGTGTGTTTGCCAAGGGGCTTTCCCGCTGCCGTAGCTCTCCCGGGGGCTCTGCTCCGTGCACAGCTGGAGAGCACAGAGGGTGCCCTTCTTGGCACTGGGTCCCTGCTGGGCAGCCCCCCCGGCCCCTCTGCACAAGGTCTCTTCCTTTTCCCCGCTGTGTAGGCAGCAGCATGGGCTGTTTTCGGGTGCTCTCCTGTCCTTGTGCCTTGTGGCACTTTGGTCTTGTAGATCCAAAGCAAGAGGTGTGAGTATGAGTGGGACTTGAACCTATTCCTGTGCTTCTGAAGATGGGAGAAGTGACTGGCAGTTGTTTCTGGTGGAATCAGTGTAATTTTGAATAGCAGGTCTTGCCCTCTGTGTTCTCCTGGGCATTGCTCACAGGAAGGCTGAACGTGATGCACTTGGTTTTGTTGTGTTGTCAAAATCCATTCTGTAGGCAGCAGTTCCTCAGCAGCCAGCCCATCACTCCCCCTGCGTGCCCGCTCGCTTAATGGTGATGTGAGTGACCTGGAGCCGTGCTGTGAGCCCCGTGGCTGTCCTGGAGACAGAGCAACTGGGGAGCTCGAGTCCCCGAGCCGGCCTGCGTGGCAGAACCTCGACCAGGGCACTGAAAGCATTGGCAGGGCCTCCAAGAACCTGCCTGGTAGGGGATTGCAGCCCCTCCAGCTACGCTCCTTCTCCAAAGCTTTGGCCTCATTGCAGTCCTGCTTTCTCACTTTCAGTTCCATTTCATTCTTTTTCCCTATCATTATTGATTCATCATTAGCTCAACTGCATTTCCATTTTTTCTCTCAGTCATATTTTTTCTTTCAATATGGAATTTCCTCTCTTCCCCTCATCTCTGCCCTAACATATCTAAGCAACATAGCAACTAAGGCAAAGTAGCAGCACATGTAGAGGCAGAAGAAGGATCCATTAGTTCTTTGCTTGCTGTTCTTGCTTTCAGCTTTTTATGGTACCTTTGCAGTAGGTTCACGATGCAGCATTGGCCCTGCTGCCCTTTGTCTTGCAGCTCAAAGTTCAGACAGGTGTATTGCAGAGTACACTTTCTGATTATATAAATATTATTTATAATTGCTTGCTGTGGCTTGTAGAGATGTGCTCTATGCCGTACTTGAAGCAAAATGTTATTAATCCTGATGATTGGTGTCAACCTGTAAATTAGTGCAAGTTGGATGTGCCAACTGATGTTCACAAGAGCAGACGAAGTGTTTACAGTTCTAGTTATAGGTGCGATAAGTGCTAATTTTTTTAATAACCCCCTTCTCCAAAGCCATGGTCCCTGTGCATCAGCTGTAGTGGTGCTGTTTATTGCTCCATTCCACTGAAATGGCAGCGGTGGCTGCTCTGCCTGCCCCAGAGCAGCCCTGCCGCTGCCTGGGGAGCTCTGCGGGTTGGTTTGGGAGGTGGGACCTTTCCAGGACCTTTCCAGGGCCTGTGTCCTTGACTCACCGCTGCTGTGCCGCTTCCGGCTCGGACACATGTGGTTGCCAGGGAGGGAGAGAGGAGACGGCGGCTCCTGGCCCAGCACTGCTGGAACTCGCCGGGTATCCATGTCCTACCCGTGGGGCTGCCTGGCCCAGGCACCAAGAGGAGCAACACGGATGTGCACGAGCTCCTAGCCCGGCTGCACGTGAAGGTGTGGGCCGGGCTGAGAGCCGGAGGAGCAGGGAAGGACGTGTTGACTTCCAGGGCCTTCCTGGTGCCCCGTGGCCACAAGGGTGCCGTGTTTGTGCTGTACCCAGCAGAGGTTTCAGCTCTGGCTTTGGTGTCTCGGTGGCTCTCTCTGTGCACACAGGCTCTGCTCTTTGGCACCACGGCTGTAAGTGGCACTTTCTGCTGCTGGGTCTCTGGGTGCTCCTGAGGGGATGTTCAGGGGAAGACAGATAAAACCAGAGACGTAATTCCAGCAAAACCACAGTTATACAATAAACTGACTGCAGTTAGGATAGAGTCAAATTCTTTTCCTCCCGTTTTTAATAGGTCCCCCTGCTCAGAACCTCTACATGTGTTCGTTGTACACGGGCTCTGTAAGGATTCAGCAGTCTCTCCCCTTTTGGTCCCATGTGATTAAGCTTTACATCTGCAGCCATGAAACAGGAAACCCGCTAGGTAAAACGTGGGAAGGAAAGGAAGTCTTCTGTCCTAAGGACAGTTGGTCTTTCATAAGATAAATAAAGTAATAAATGTAATAAAGATAGACCAGTTACAATGACATTCAACTGTAACATAGCTACTGACTTTGTGAAGTGTGTATGTTATGTGTGTGTGTATATATATTTAATAGTTTCCAACCAGAGCATCAGTAGCCTTTCACTGAGACGTGTAAACAGATTCACAGAATATTTAAGGTTGGAAGGGACCTCTACAGATCATCTAGTCCAACCTTCCTGCTCAAGCAGGCACACCTACAGCATGTGGCACAGGGTGGCATCCAGGCGGGTTTTGAAGACCTCCAGAGTAGGAGACTCCACAACCTCCCTGGGCAGCCTGTTCCACTGCTCTGTCACCCTCACAGTAAAGAAGTTGCTCCTCACCTGGAGACGGAACTTCTTATGCTTCAGCTTGTGGCCATTACCCCTCGTCCTATCGCTGGCCACCAGTGAAAACAGCTTGTCCCCTTCCTCCCTGCATTCTCCCTTCCTGAACTTATACATATTAATCATATCCCCTCTGAGCCGTCTCTTCTCCAGAGAAAACAGGCCCAGCTCACTCAGCCTCTCTTCATACGAGAGATGTTCCATTCCCTTAATCATCCTGGTTGCCCTTCTCTGGACCCTCTCCAGAAGCTCCACGTCCCTCCTATACTGGGGAGCCCAGAACTGAACACAGTACTCCAGGTGCGGCCTCACCAGAGCTGAGTAGAGGGGCAGAATCACCTCCCTTGACCTGCTGGCAACATCCTCCTGATGCAGGCCAGGATCCCATTGGCCTTCTTGGCCACGAGGGCACACTGCTCACTCATGGTTAACTTAGTGTCAACCAGGACTCCCAGGTCCCTCTCCGTGGAGGTGCATTAGTATTTATCGTAATCTTGACTTTTTGCAAGAAAACTTGATAGCTGTACCAAGGAATTCAATTTTCATATTGTAAAATAACAAAAAACCTAGAGACTCAAGTATCTTAAAGGTACAGCACAATCACTCGCTTATATTAATTTTAATTAGTTCTACATTACAGTATTAAAAATAAAACAAAGTATTTCCCCCTCAAGATTGTATAGAGATCCTGTTTGTTACCGCATGAAGACAGTGAGTCATCTGCCCTCTGCTCTTCATGTGAGGACTTGTCCCTCCAGCTTTTGCACAAGTGCAGAAGGAAGTGGCACTTCTCTGATGGTGCATCCTTTCTTCATTATTTTATTTTTTAGCTTTTTTTTTTTTTCTGCTTACAAAAAAAGTAAAGTTTAAAAATGTCAACAGGACCCCTGAGAAGCTCTCACTGTGACTGGCCCTTGGGTCCTTCCCTCTCAAAGGGATTTCATTCCTGCTGCCTCGCCGTGGTGAGCTTCCAGCCCTGGTGCTGTTGGAGATCTGTGGCAAGATCTTTAAAATTAGCTCGTGTCACTAAATTATTTGGAAGGGCAACTTGAAGAATTAATGATTATTGAATAAAATACTTACACTTTTCCTTGAAACTGGCAAACTGCAAGCTAGCTTGTGGATTGACAGAGCTTTTACTGGGAGAAAGTGGGGAGGCTGGATCTGGATGAACTCTTATCCCTCGTGTATGAAACCATTTGATATTTTTTTTTTGTAGGATTTTGTTTGTTTATAATGAAGAAGGAGGGGGAATGGATCAGCAGTGGTTAAAAATTGTCCTGTCATCATCCTACACAACAGGACATCCCTGGGAAGCACGGGGAATATAATTAAGAGGGTGCTAATTGATGTCTTTGGGTGCTGGAGATCTCTGATTTTGCAGTGCTCAGCACTGCAGCTTCTGACTGGCAAGTGCCCTCTCTGGCTCAGAGGGATCAGCAGGTTCCAGTTACTAATGTTATGCAGTGTAAATCCATAAATGCTTCGATCCATCAGGTTTAATGGTTGCAAAAAAAAGCTTGGGAAATCCTCTAACTGCTGCTTGCTGCAGACTGGGAAGTGCAGAGTGCTTCCAGGGATGCTTCACTCGAGATCCATATTGCTTTTCCTGCTGTACTTCCAGCATCTGCTTCATCCAGCGTGTTTGCAGAGCAGCCTCCTGCTTCCTCCTCGTGCAGGAAAGGGGGGAGAGGCTTCCTTTTCCAGGCAGTCCCTTTTCCTGATCCAGCTCATGGTCATGGAGCAGCCCTGCTGTGGCACAAGAAGGTGATGGCTCTTCCTTAAGTGATGAGGTTTCCTTATGCTGCAGGACAGCGCAGTTCAGCCCTGTGCCAGTTGAGTTGCTCCCGAGCACCCAGTTCTGGCTGCTGCTGCGCGGGGAGC